CTCTCTCTCTCTCTCTCTCTCTCTCTCTCTCTCTCTCTCTCTCTCTCTCTCTCTCTCTCTCTCTCTCTCTCTCTCTCTCTCTCGGTGCTAGTCCAAATGCGGGCGCAGAGATCCGTCGTCGTGGTCGCCGTTTAGTAATTAGGAACGAGTGTGACCACAACCGAGTCACGGGATATCAGTCGCGTCGTGAAAATGTGGGTGACTGACATCCCCGATGGTCGAGGTGAGTTGTGGGGCGGCACCTGCCCAATTGATCCGGATCCTCTGTGCGCATAGGGGAGAGGAAGGAAAGAGTTAGCGGCGATCCCTGCGCCTACACGCGGCGCCTGGATCAGTAAGGGGTCGGGGAAGAGAGGGAAATCCACACTCATGCATCCATGCAGACGGTCGACACCTCGCGTTTCCCAGAATTGTGCCTATAAGCGCCCACACATCTACTCATTCATCTATCTTGGACAGTGAGACATTCAACATCCATAGACCCTCGCACCACATCATCCATAAAACAAAATACCCGTACTTCGGACTTTGCACACATCACACTTGGACAAAGTAGTAACGGAGGTAAAAGCGAGTCCCTCGCTATTCAAAATTTCATACTCGACTGGCCTCCCTCAAGCACAACCCCCAATCAATCTGAAATTCCACCAACCATAGCCACAAGGCGGTGCCGCTGCCAGCGTTCGATCTCCACCACCGCTCCATCACTCCGGTTGTCTTACCCTAAGTTTATCGCTAAGCCCGTCCCACGTCGTCACTCCGCCTGTCCTTGGGCACGTCAAGCCTGTTCGACGCCGCAGACCTCGTGCATAGCTCGCACAGCATTGCAGCTGAGATCAAAGAGGAGGAGGGGATGGGGCTGCGATAATTTATAGTGCGGAAGGCGGGGGGGTGCCAGCATGAGGTGCGAGCATCAAGGGGTGTAGATGAGCAAGACAGAAGAAAGGCCAAGGTTCCAAGAGGATCGATGAAGGCGAGTCGAACATTCTGTGTGATTGAGGTGGTCGTTCAAGTGGTGCGCGCTTCCCGCTTTCACCACATTGATCTGACCATCCCAACTACACGACCAATTGCTCGCGGGAAGACGAAGAGGCATGCAAGAAAGGAGTGTGCAGCAAGAAGGGAAAATGGCGCGGAGATGCAAAGCGGGGGAACGGATTTACGCCGCGTACAAAAAATTGAAAATCCGCCTTGCGCGCATCATGGTATAAAAATTAAAATCCCGCATACACTAGTTTCTAACCGTTTCTTGGATTTCTAGTCGTGGTTGCTGACTGTCCGCGCGGAGAAATCATAAGTTTTTGTTCCTCCTCTCCCCCCCCCCCGTTTCAAGAAGAAGGAAAATAAAATAAAAATAGACCCCGCCTTTCACGATCACCCAGAACCCGTACTTCGAGGCTTATATGGAATTTTCCCTAAGGGTAGTACGGGAAGCCATTGAGTACGGATCTTGGCTTATTACAAGTGTGAGTGGGTTGTTTGTGGTGTGTGGGAGAGTGTTGGCCTTAGACACTACTGCTACTCGATGAGGGGTGAGGGAAAACGACAAGAGAGGTGCAACTACTGATAAAATGCTCGGTCTTTGCAATAGCCAGACCCCCACCGATGGCCCCACCCCATCTCTGACTACTGTTGTTGGTCTGGGGGCGAACATCCGATCTCATCATTGTGAGGTAGCTATTCTTGCAGGGATCCCCTCTATAAAGCCTTAGGAGTAGTGCCAGGTAGGTAGTGAAAGGCAGAAAGGAGGTTGTGGGTTCAATCAAAACGACTTCTTGGCACGGTTGATGCCAACCAACTAAGAAAGTTTGATCCTACCATTGGCATTGGCAGGGTCTTTGGCCATAATGTGTATGTGTGGTGGG